AGCGGCCTTCCCCGGCGAGCCCGGGCCGGTGTGGAGCAGCCTTCCCCGGGCAGGCCCAGGCGCCAGCGGCCTCATCGACGAGGAAGAGGTCGTTGAGGAGCGGGCCGCTGCCATCCCCCTCAGCCAGAGCTTGGAGGGGGGACGCAGCTGAGAGCCATCGCCCAGGCTTCAGAGCTGGAGCATGAGCGTGCTTTCAGCTTCAGGGGGCTCCTCACAGCATGCCGAGCTGGTTGTTTTGGGTTTTTTTTAAATATATATGCGTGTACAGTGTGTGTCTATACATACCTATTAAAAAAAAAAAAAAAAAAAAAAAAAAAGGCAGCAAGCACACTGGAAGCAAGTGTCAGCCTCCCAGTCTGCAGCTAGAGACCAGTTAAAAAGTCAAACTAGACAAGGTGATATTCTCCAGGCGGTTTTAATAGAGCACAGATTATTTCTCCCCCCCCCCCCCCCGATGATCAAGTATTTATATACAATGTATCAATAGTGGATTAACAAAAATTACAGAATTGAAAATCTGATTTATACATACTAGTTGCTTAAGCAAACAGCTTGAAACAGTGACGGGGCTAGAGGTATTCCTGTAACCCCCTCTGTTTTGAACACTTTCAAAACAAAAGCACCATAGACTGCTGAAATTGCATCAGATGACCAGATTTACAGGTTTTATTCAGATTTAGGCAAGGCACTCGTTAAGAAATAACCTTTTCTGTATGTACAACGTAAGAAACCATGCGGCAAAGCAAAGCATCTGTCACTGCGCCGGGAGCGGCTGCGCCATGTGCATGGCAGGGGTCTGCATCGGCCACCCTTCCTGGTGGTTCTGCAGCAGCCGGTACAGCTGCTTCAGGTGAGCCACAATGTTATCCTTGATGTCGGGCGTAGAGATCTGGAGCCGCACGCTGCCACTGTCAAAGGAGCGCGTGAAGTCACCGGAAAACATTTCGTAGATCATCCGGGCCACAACTGGAATGACCTGTTTAGGAAGAAGTCAGTTGTTTTAGCCTAACGGTCACACAGTATATTCCTGTTATTCTGCCGGAATCCCCTGCCCTGGATGCAGGGGACGGCTTCCACAATAACCTAAAACGTCGTCACAGACTGATGCTATTCGGCACACGTAGCATTTGTATTTGCCGTGACAAAACCCACCAGCCTTACTGGGGTTTCCTGGGGTCAGTAACCACGACAGAGAAGAGGAGGTCTCCGGTATCCGTGGGCATCGATCCAGAGCCAACGCACCGGCCCAGCAAGGCTGGCACGTGTCACTTCAGGGCCTCAGCTCCTACCTGAACCACAATCAGCTTCCTCTCCCTGGGTTTTCCATCAGGCCATTCTTCTCCAAAACAGAAGTAGATCTCATACGGTGGCTGCTTCTCAATTTGTCCTTTCTGATGGGCAATCAGCTCTAGGAAGAAAAGCAGAATGCTGTGGGCTCATCCTCTTTAGTTTAGAAACACTCACCACATCCCATCTCATTATGTCATCCCAGATCTTACCTACACACTGTCCTTTGCCAGAGCCACCTCTTACACATACACAAGTAAAGCTCATTTCTTGCACCCAGAAGAGCTTTCTTTAAAAGCAAGCTCCGATGTTTTTCAGAGCATTAAATGCGTGTACATTCACTTTCTTCTGATGTGCACCTGCTCCCTGGTCCACTGAAGCTGGGGAAGCGGTGACTCCTACCCACGCTCCATGCACAAGCAAACTAATTGGTGCATCCAGGCTGAGCCCCAGTGCAGAGCACCCCTTCCAGTAGTGCCACCAAGTGCCCAGACCAGTATCCAAAGCTATTTTCCAGAAGCAGAAGTTACCTACCGCTTAGGAATGTTTCCAGGCAGAAGAGTTTGACTTTCTTTTGCCTCTCGATCAAATTTGGTGTGGTGGAGGAAGGAGCACAGGGACCAGACCAGTAGACTTTGCACTGGCAGAGCCGGACAGCATAGATGGCATGGCCGCTGACCTCCAGGATCAGTCCCCTGTCCATAACATCCAGCAGCCGACTTGTGAAGATCTTCTGCCTTTCATTGGTGATTTGCTCTGTTCCTGGAAACTTTACTTGCTCCAAACTAATGGGCCCAAAGAGCTCTTCCTGGTCTGGCATAGGACCCAGCTCTCCGTAGAAAAGTCTGCATCCCTGAGGATTGCTTACAGTCGTCGTCGGTCCAGTCTCCTTTCCTCGATACTCAAACTTGATTTCTAGGTCTGTCACTGAGAGAGACACTGTCAGTATGGCTTTTCCTGGACCTTTACATTACTGCATCAGCAGTAGAGACACACCACGCAATCCACACTACAGTCACAGGGATGTTTAAACTATACACAGTTCTCCATGCTAACAAGCAAACAGCCACAGGAAAAAAGTCAAAACACTTTTTTTAAGTACAGTGACAGAAGCGCTACAGATCCATATACTTACTTGGCAGAGAGCTGATCCAGAGCTCAGGGCTGCTGAAGAAGTCATGCTGCAGCGCAGTTGGGGGCATTTCCATATCTAGAGGTTCATTCTTTGGCCACACAGCTTCAGGGCTGCAGTTTTCTGCACTGGCTGGAGCCATTGGAGAATCTACAAAAAGGAAACAATTCTTCAATAAACCAAGATTTTATTTCAAGCATGCACCAACTTACAAGCAAATACCTTCACTAATACATTAGTCTATGCCACCAACCATTGATATTAAGAAATGGAAATGTCTCTTGAATAGGGACATGCTGAGATTGATTCAATTCTTCCTCTTCTTCATCATCGAGATCATTATCCTTTTCATCCCACGGAACTGAGCCAGTGGAACCTGCAAACAAGCACATTCTTGTGGGTAGTCGATCAGTGTGAAACACTGCAATGCATTTCTTGAAAAAATAAATGTAATCTTCATGTTGGCGCTGCACAATATTGGAAATTTGTGTATTTTCCAAATATAAGTAAAAAAAAGGACAAATCTGATCTGTACAACATACTATTTTCAGTTTAATATATAATTCTAGAGGGCTAAGGATACAAACTATTGCCAACATTGGACTGTTTAGCAGAAAACATGCAACTGCATACAGCTTTATTAATTTTAGTACAGGTACACTATGGTTCAGAGTCGTCTTAGTTTAAGTACAACCGGGCTTATGCACACAAAGGCAGCTTGAGAGTTAATGCTGCGGAGGGAAAGGAACTCGCACTGGACAAATGCCTGCTCAGTAACCAGCCCTGTGTCAGCAAGGCCCTCACCTGGATTAATGATTGATCCCTGGGACTGCGGGATATCGCACACTTCATAAATTTTAATAGGATTCATGGGCACCTCCTTGGTGCCATCATACATCAGATTAAATTCCCGGCTTTTGTTAAGAGCACATCGGAGCTGGGCTTTCCACTTTGCAGGGTCTGGCTCATCGACTCCTTCCTGGTACTTTCCCGTTTCCACAGCCCATGCCTGGGGACAAAGTACACTGTGCTCAGTCCAGCCCTCTCAACAGAGCAGCTTTTATCAGAAATCAAACTTCCAAACAAATTCACTGTAAAATCCTTCTCTTGCAGAAGTCTTAACTACAGCTCTTCCGACAACAACAACGGAAATTCCCGCTTTAATAGTTTTTCCCATTAAAAGAAGGGGGAGAAAAAAAGCTGTAAATCCAAATTTCCAAAATCCGTTAGCAATTCTGAACATGCATCTTCATACAAGTTAAGAAAGTGTAAATTGTACAGGATTGTGCACCAAATTTTTTTAGATCTCTTAGGTTCAATATCAAGTCATTTTTGACAGCCATACCCTGCGCAGAAGGAATGGGTTCAGTTAAAATGGAGTGGAAGAGCAGCCACAGGCATCCAGCTGGCCCTCTCCCTCTCTCACCCCAAAATCAGACTATCAGTCCAAGATCCCTCCAAGGCAGAGGTCAGAAATTCCTCAAAGGAGTGTAGGAGTTGTAATGAATCCCTTGGGATAAGAATATTAGGGACAGCAGTGATGACTACTGGAAGTTTGTGGTGGACCTCTTAAGATTTATGCAACAACATTTAATGGTTTGCTGCTAAGAACAAGCCAGCTACCACATCCTAAACCAAGAAGATGAAGCAAATAGCAGTAATCTTCCAGAGTCCATGCAATCGGACATTGTCTGGCCTTTGGTGGTCAGAAAGGGTTAAAGAACTCAACACCATTTCAGGCAGTGCCAAGCTTGGCATCCAGGTGCACAAAATGGCTTTTCTGAGGTCAAAGAAATAGGACAAAATGTGCCTGGAAACAGCTACTGAGATGCCTGTCCAGCTCCTGGGCCAACAATTCAACCCTTTGTCTCTGTTTAAGAGCCGTAGTATATCGGAGCTCTCCCCTCTCTCACCTTGAAGATGGTGTTCTCCTCCTCGTGCTGCGGGCTGTGCCGAGTTGCATGCTTCCAGGGGATTTGAAACCGCTTCGCTTCTCGGTTTAGCCAGATAAGGCCGGGATACATACCACTATCGACCTGGGCTACCAGCCACGGCTTCAAGCGAACTCTTCGCGGGTGTAACGCCATTGTCTACAAAAGACAGGGATAATAGTAGACCAACTGCTAAAGGTTAGTTGAGACTCATATGCATTAAAAAAAATTTAATTTCATGACAAGTGGCCCTATGCCGTGTTACTGCTATTGTTTGTTATGTTACTGCACATTGAAACCACTAATTCAGATTCAGCTAGATGACTCTTCTGCCAGGAGGAGTGAGTTAAAAATGCATCACTAAGCGGGGACCATAATTGTTACAAGAACAACAACTCACTATTAAATATTCCAGTAAGCAGAGAAGGCACGTTATTTGTGTTAACTGAGCGTGTGGAGGGCGAGCCCCAATCAAACCTGAGCTGTAAACGCTGCGCAGGAGATAAAGCCACAAACAAGCCACAGCAAGAACAGGCAGTAGGATTTCAAAAGCCTCCACGTACGCCTTAGCGAAGAGGCCTATCTGATCTAGTTGTTCTTCAGTCATGTCAGACTTGCATAGAGGAGGAGAAAAACTAATATGCACTGAATTAGAGGCTTTTGCCCCATGTATTGGATCTGGCTGGATCTGGGTGAGAGGGAGTTAATTCTCCTCATAGCAGCCCTCCTAGTGCTGTGCTCTGTATTGGTAGCTAGAAAAGTGTTGATAACACACCAGTGTTTTGGCTAATGCTGCCCAGTGCTGGCACAGCATCAAGGCTGTCTCTCCAACACTCCCCCCTCACCAGCAGGCTGGGGGTGGGCAGGAGCTTGGGAGGAGACACCGACCCAAACTGACCAAAGCAATATTCCACAGCATATGATGTCTGCTCAGCAATAAAAGCTAAGAGAAAGGAGGAGGAATGGGGGGGCATTCATTATTTACGACGTTTGCCTTCCGGAGCAACCGCTATGTATCCTGAAGCCCTGCTTCCCGGGAAGTGGCTGGACATCGCCTGCTGATGGGAAGTAGAAAATAAATCTTTTGTTTTCCTTTGCTTCCGTGCACGACCTTTGCTTTCGCTTTATTAAACTGCCTTTATCTTGACCCAGGAGGGTTTTTTTTTCCACCTTATTTTCTCCCCCCTCATCCTGCTGAGGAGAGGAGTGACAGAGCGTCTTGGTGGGCACCTGGAGTCCAGCCACGGTCAACCCACCACAGCCCAGTTGAGGTAAAGGTGGAAGCGTCAGGCTGAAGCAGAGAGGACCATTTTATCACAGAGACAGACGTTCTTCTGAAAGTCATTTGATGGCTTTTTCATGAATGCTCTGAATGCAGTGTAGTCATTCGCAAACATCACTGACCTATAATAACCAGGATGTTTATCCAGAAGGACATGAACTGCAAGTCTGCCTGCACTCGTGCTAAAAATCGAGTGATGTTGACTTAATGTTTAGGTTTTTTTAAAAAACAACGCTGTAGTTAACTGATCAAATCTGTTGTTGTTTAAGTAGCCCTGTGTTGCTACTACATTTGCAGTCAACCAACAATATTTTTCTTGTGCTGAACAGATACAAAGCCAAACAAACAAAATTAACGACTGTCCCTTGGCAAGAAGCAGCATTTGGTATCTTTAGATTTTGGGAGGGGACTTTTGTGCTACACATTTGCTTAGAAGGTGTATCTCCCAAATTCATTTGTAAATCTTCAGAGAGATGTGAGAAATTACAAATAGTCCCATAAATAAAGCAGTTACAGGATAAGTAAAACGTTTTCCATAAGCCCTGAATACTGCTGCAGGAGTTGCAAAATGTGTCTAGTAGCAGCGACAGAGAAGATTAAAAAATTCTATCCAAGAACTAGGCTAGGAACAGGTTTTATTTGTTCAAACACCTGCAGATCCCATTCAGATGCAAGTGTTCACACAAAATTAATCTGAACACAACTTATTTTATCTGTTAAGCAAAGAAAATGTTCAGATTCAATTGCAAATCATCTCTAAATAACAGTTTGAAAATGTGCTTTGTCAAGGACCTGGGCGTGTTAGCAGACTGCTTCCCAAGAGCTGCAAAGGATCAGAAAGCAATCATCAAAATTATTCTTGTGCTTCTGAAACTCTGCTGTATTAGTTATCTACGTCAAAAATGCTATCAGAATTAAACTTTCAGTAGCATGTTTGCAAAGACACAAAGTCCAGGTTAATCCTGGACTTGGAATTGAGACCAAAACCAGGTATAGATTTCCCTCGCAAAGGAAAAAAGTGACTTCTCATTGTAACAAAGAAATCCTAACTAAAGCTTGCTTCCACAATCTCTTTTACACTCAACTTTACAAGCAGTCCCCTCTGCTTCTAATAACATACACTGCGTACACACACATTTGCAAGACCAGGAGTAAATTCAAACCCACACAACAGGGAGAAAAATTCATGCCTCTCCCAAACAAAATACATTTGGTCATATGGAGGGTGTGCTGGCGCTGCCGTATTAGGTTTGAATTGTCCCTTGGATCACAGACAGCATCTGTCAATACGCAACATTACAATGCTTTATGACCCTTTATCACCAATGACTTGTTGACACAATAACCAAGAGCAAATCAACTTGAATCCCATTGCTGGGCTCAGACGGTGAGTCAGCCTCTTACAACCTTCAACTTCGATCCAGTGGGGTTCACTAACCCCAGAGGCTGCTCCCGCTCCGAGAGCTGCAAGGGTGAGCTTGGGGAACGTCTTCATGCCATTAACTGGATTTGCCAGGGGAGGCTTGGCCCTCATTCAGGACTCCTCAGTGCACATACCCAGGAATCCTCCGGTTTGCTTTATTCCCACTCAAATTGGCTGGGGGGGGGGGGTAATTATCACATCCCTGTGCTGCATTAAATGCATCTCTGGTCAGTGATGTAATTATTCCCCACACCTCAATTATTATTAAGTCAGACATTTTTCCTTGGAGGGGAGACATTTGCCCCAACAAGAACAACTCAAGCAAACTCAGGAACGAGCAGACATCCTGCAGCCACTTCCCTGACGGCCGAGTGACCAAGGTCAGGGCCAGCCCCGGTTAGCCGTGGTGACTCTCGGGGCTCCGGCGCGGTGCCAGCCAGCGTAACGTGCAGCGCACCAGGAAAATGCGACCTGAAGCCGGTCTCGGCCCTGCCGCATGGATGCTTTCACGCTCGGTGTGTTCAGTGCTCCCGCTCCACCCTGTTCACGAAGCCTCTGAAGAAGGAAGGGGTCTTCTCTGGGTTCATCGCTGCGATACCACAGACCTCATTCCACGCTCGTTACCTTTGTTTGATTACATTAGCCTGTATTTTGTGGATCTGTATTCGTTTTTTCAAAGACAAGCAGCTCAATCCTTCACATCAGCGTCTCCACATAGAAACGGGCCAAATTTTCATCTGAGCGTCCAACACTTCATCACCTCCCAACACTGGGAACCTATAGTTCCCACGTTTCAGAGATGTGGACATCACTGTTCTAGCAGCCACCCCTGCTCCCCTGCCCTGCGCCGGGCAAGCAACGCACCTTGAGCACAATTAACTCTTAAAATCCACAGTCCCTGCACCCAAATCTGGCAACCTCAGCCCTCTGCCATGCCCGGACAGCCCATTAAGTTGGAAGGGGCATGAGTTGTCACAGATAATTTGGGTTCTGGGGGTGGTAACGGCTGTGGTCTGATAGCAGCTGCCGGTGAGGGGGGTGTAGGGGGGTAAATATTACCCTCGCCCTAACTCTAGGCCTCGGTTTATGCCAACTTGAAAGATGTAGCCTAGGGCTAATACAGCACAAGCCGCCGGAGCAGACGGGGAAAGGAGCAACACCTAAATGCCTATTACATCTTTACCCTCCCGGCTGCCTTCGGACCCGGACCCCCCCGCACCTTCCCAGCCCGCCCCCGAGCCGCCAACCTGCCCAC